CACGAAGAGTTATGTTACAGAAACAACATGCTTGCTTCACTTCCTCCTGAAACAGGACACCCTGTGTTCTCCTGACCAATCAGCTCAACATGGATCAGGGAGGAGGCTCAAGGCACCCGGAGGCCACACCCAGGATGGCCCTTCCCAGGTGGGGGCTGTGGCCACTCTCCTGGACCCTGGGCCCAGCTTCCTCCTGTTCTCCATGGGGGTGATACCACCTGGTCTCAGAGGGGCAAGTCCTCAGTGAGGACCTGATGAGGACCCAGGTGATGGTGCTGACACAGCGATGGCCCATCCGAGGCTCTGCAGGCGTGAAATTCCCCGCAGAAAAGCGGAACAGGGAGTAGGATCCCAGTGAAGACTGGCATCAGGGGAGTAATGCTGCTGGAGGTCCTGGTGTCTACTGCACCTCCTTGCTGCCTGCACATACGTAAGATGCATGCAGAGCACTGAGAAAGGAGCCCAACAGAGCAGAAGCAGCACTAGCATTGAACTGGGGCCCTTTACCCCTGACACCCCTGCAACACATAGCAGGTGGACATGATTCGTGTTTGTCTCCAGCTGGGGAAGTGGGCGGTGTAGTTACTGTTGTGTGTGGGATGGTTGGGCCCAGGATAGGGTGAGGGGAACCATTTCCGTTGGTCTGAGAAGAGGGCACATTGTGCACTCAGGGAGCACTAAATCTGGAGTCTCTCTTCCTGAGACTCTCCCCCCAGGGTTCGGGTCCCTGTTAACCATTCATCTTCCTCATCCTTCAGCCTGACCTATTGGTCCCAGAATATAGTCCTCAGACCCAAGCTCCTCTGTCTCCTGGGAAGCTGACACTGAGATTCCAGGTGCTTGAACCTAAGCTCCCAGCTGGAAGGGGCCTCTGGGGACAGACTGTGAGCTCCTGCAGGGGGACCTGCCCTACTTTCTGTCCTTTGTGAACTGTGCGGGTTTGGGGGCTTCTTTCCTTTCTCTGACCTGGCCTGCATCCCTCCAGTGCACGCTCTTCTGTGCTCACTTAGCCAGACTCAGTCTCTGTTGCTCAGAACCACAGGGATCTCACCTGACACAGGGGTCACTGTGGAATTGCATCGTCTGCTCATTGAGCTGAATGGGGTCCAGCTCTAAGGGTTTGGGGGCACATGGGGATGGACACTGAATGGTTCTATATCCAGGCACTGGGTCCAGAACCCTACGCAGGAGAAATGTGTGCAAGATTTGAATTCCCCAGGAACTTACAAAGAATGAACGAAGGAATGAAACTCATAATACAGGGATCAGACAGATGATGGCCATAACTGCTGACATCTTCAGGAAGGAATGGAAGGGCCGACTGAAGTCTCAGGGAAACACTGGCTGAGAGGGAGTCAGAGGCACTGAGGACAGTCTTCCGAGGGAGGTTTGGACAGAAGTGTGGAGAAGGCTCTGCAGCACGTGGGGAGGGACTTAGGAGATGTCCTGGGATCATTTCTAGGTCCCGGGTGCTTCCTGCCCTGAGCTCCAGGCGAGGGAAACTGTTAGGTGGTCACATGCTCCACATGTGGAAACACAGAGAGTCAGTGCCCCGTGAAGCAGGCCCGTGGGGGTGAGAACAACACCCAGATGACCCCCTCTCCTCCCTGGAGAGGAGGAGCCTGAGGCATCCCATGAAGGCTCCTCAGAAGGTCCAGGCAGGTGCAGTCCCAGTTGGGTGACCAGGTCAGAACATGGCCTTGGGTGGACTTTCCCTCCATCCCTGTTCCCATCACCCAGCCCCTCAGTCCTGTTCCTGGGGATTGAGTGAGCCTGGCACCCAGCTCTGCCCTTGGGGGACCCCAGGCTCCTGTACATTGCTTTGGCTGCAATTAGGCTTCAGCATCTGTGCTGAGAGTCACGGGTAGCTGCTGGGGAGGCAAAAGCAGTTGCTGCTAAGGTCGATATTGTTTTTTTTTAATTTATCTTTATTAGTTGGAGGCTAATTACTTTACAATATTGTAGTGGTTTTTACCATACATTGACATGAATCAGCCGTGGATTTACATTTGTTCCCCATCCCGATCCCTGCTCCCACCTCCCTCCCCATCCCATCCCTCTGGGTCTTCCCAGCGCACCAGCCCTGAGAACTTGTCTCATGCATCCAACCTGGCCTGGTGATCTGTTTCACCCTTGATAATATATTTGTTTTAATGCTATTCTCTCAGAACATCCCACCCTCGCCTTTCCCACAGAGTCCAAAAGTCTGTTCTGTACATCTGTGTCTCTTTTTCTGTTTTGCATATAGGGTTATCATTACCATCTTTTAAAATTCCATATATATGCATTAGTATACTGTATTGGTCTTCATCTTTCTGGCTTACTTCACTCTGTATAATGGGGTCCAGTTTCATCCATCTCATTAGAACTGATTCAAATGAATTCTTTTTAATAGCTGAGTAATATTCCATTGTGTATATGTACCATAGCTTCCTTATAATTGCCAGGACATGGAAGCAACCTAGTTGCCCATCAGCATATGAATGGATAAGGAAGCTAAGGTCAATATTCTTATGGGTCATTCTAGCCCATGTGGGGAATAGATGAGTGGGGCAGGGCAGTGCCCCAAGGTAAACACAGGAAGACTGTTCTGGAAGCTCCTGCAGGAGTCCTGGTGACACATGAAGGCAGCCTGGGTGAGCTGTGTGCTGTCTCTCTCTGCCCCTCTGTTTACGGCTGACCAGCTCTCACACCTGCACACGCGCCGTCTGCTCTCAATCACTCTCGGGTGGGCCGTGTCCATCCTGGTCCCAGGGGCTGGAGGAGGAGTATCCCCGTGCTCAACCCAAGTCAGATGACACGGCCTCCCCCAGGTGTCCCATGGGGCCTGGGGGCTCCAAGGTCTGAGTTAAACGACTGAACGGGAGCCCAGCGGGCAGGCAGGAGGAGCCATGGAGGACGCGCTCCCTGAGACCCTGGGACACAGGCTCACGGGGAAGGAGCTCAGGCATCTGGACTCAGGTGAGCCCCGTCAGTCAACACAAGGAAACCTCAGTGAATCAGTCCTATTTATTGAAATAAAGTCTAAAGAACACAAGGTGAGGAGATCCAGTGTTAGTCAGCTGTCGTGTCTGGCTCTTAGTGACCTCATGGGCTGCCAGACTCCTTTGTCCATGGAATATTTCTAGGCAAAAATACTGGAGTGGATTGCCATTTCCTTCTCCAGGGGATCTTCCCAACCCAGGAATCGAACACACATCTCCTGTATTGGCAGGCGGATTCTTCACCACTGAGTCACCTGGGAATCCCATGGAAAAGCATGGGGTTTCCTTAAAAAACTAAATATGGAGTTATTGTATGAGTCAGCACTTCAGGAAAAGACAAAAGCTCTAATTCAAAAAGTAACATGCACTCCAGTGTTCAGAGCAGCACTGTTTATAACAGCATGGAAACAACATAAGTGTCCATCAATAGATGAAAAAAGATGTGAAATAGCTGGAATAGTACCCAGCCATAAAAGAATAAAATAATGCTGTTTTTAGCTGCTTAGATTGACATAGAGATTATTGTAAATGAAGTAAGTCAGTCAGAGAAAGACAAATATTGTATGATCTCAATTGTATGTGGAATCTAAAAAGTAGTACAAATGAACTTATTTACAAAACAGGAACAGACTCACAAAGAAAATAAACTTATGGTACAAAATAGGAAAGGGGAGGAAGGGTAAATGGGAATATGTGATGAATAGATGCACATTACCATACATAAAATAGATAATCAGGATTTACTGTACAGCACACAAAACTACATGTATAATCAATACATTTGGCTGCACACCAGAAACCCACACAATACCGTAAGTCACCTACACTTCAATAAAAACAAACAAACAAAAGAAGTCACTGCCTAGTTAATAACAACCTGCTGGAATCGACGGTGAGTTGACCTTTGACTTTCTCTCATTTTCAACCCTTCCGTATTCCTGGCCTTCCACAGCTCGTTCCACCTGCCTTTCCCTTTGTTCTACCCCCAGTGTGTTCTTCAGTCCAAATGAAGTGGTCTCTCTCCTCCCCTCACTCTTCAGCCCCCCTCCGCCCTCAGTCCAGGCTCCAGGCTCTTGCTTTGTCCTCATCTGCCACCTGCATCCATCCCTCCCTTGCTGTGCTCAGCTCCAGAAATGCCAAATTCCCAACACCCAGGACCATCAATGTTGTCTCCCCTCCTTTTCTCCTCTAACAAGCTGCCTCTGAGACACCCAGCAAATGTCCCTGGTCCCTGCACTCCTTTGGGGGTGGGGGAACTGAGATTCTCCTCCTGCAGATTCTCATGGATCTCAGTGAGTAACTCCAGTATGCTTTCCAACACCTGGGCCCGCTGCCTCACCTTTTCAGCTGACTCTGCCTTGGCTCCATCGTGTAAATGTATTGACTCTCTCACCAGGAAGCCCACATCTATCACAATGCCGATACCTGACAGGACTATGCCAGTGATACGGGCTCCTTTTGCCATTGCTGAAGCCATGCTGCCAAAAGTTTTCTGCACCTGAACGCTGCCATGAATGATGTTTTTCCCTTTGGTTAGGAAGAACTTGACTTTGGCTGCTAAGGCCGGGCTGGCTTTGATCACCATGATGAATTGGACTTGCTTCTCAGTGTATTCTAGGGCACTGATGAGTGACTTCGTTGCAGAAATAACTTGAGGTTTCCTTTTATGGAGTACATCCTTGATTACCTTCCATCTCTCCCTGTCATGGGACAGCAGTTGAGTGGTTTTGATTTCCACTGATGACGTGTTTACTTGTTCCACGCTGCTGGTGGACACATTGGTCACAGCAGCCGCTATGACCACCCCAAACCCAGTGGCCATGACAGGCAGAGTGGCCCCCATTGTCAGAGGTGTCAGAGACAGGTGAAGGATGCTGAGGATGCCAGACACAGTGCCAGTGGAGTGGGCCACCACCTTGGAAATCGTGCAGTCCTTGTGTACCTTGTCAACTTTGTCCGCAAAAGCATGGATTTTTTTCTGTGTCTTCCTCCAGGTCCTGTTTCATCACAGGAAACTCCTCCAAAACCTTCCTTCTGTCCAGCTGGTCTTCTTTGAGTGTCTCTGGGTCCTTTCCACTCAAGTTTGTATTCAGCCTGTTCAGATATTCATGTAATGCCTCTCCCTCCTCCCTGTAATAATGATGATCAAGGAATTAAGACAATTTGTTTGTCTGTAAAAATAGGCTGGACAGGATCTATTCTGCATAAATTACAGAAATTGTTTAATTAAATATTTATAAGTGTTTCTTCTTACATTAAGTACATATTCAGACATTGAAGATGTTCCATATACTTATCCAATGGTGGAAAATATAAGCCAAAATCATATTAGGATACACTTAAGGTAGGTATTTGGTTTAGAATCGGGGGCAGGTCAAAACCATCACTTGCCAGGAGCTGGTAGGGTGGGAACTCCACAGAGAAACAAAGAAAAGTTCGATTTGAGCAGAAAACCCTTTATTAATGGACCTTAGTGTGTAGCGAAGAGTCAATCTGCTCCTAGCCCTTGATTCTGGGAAGTGGTCTCTAAGCCCCTAGAACATTCTCGCTGATAGGAGTGTCTTCATCTGCTCGGGCCTTTGGCCACTGGACAAACAGAAAAGGTGACATTCGTGATGGGGGCCTTTGGGTCATGTGGTATCAGTTCTGACCTCTGGAGAAGCTGGACTCTAGGGCATTAGTCTGACCGCCGGGAGGAGCTAGAGACCACAAGTTAGGATAATTTGTTTTTAAGTGCATGAGATTCCCTGGAAGACAGTTCTCTGTGTGTCCTGCCGCACACTGATTCCAAGGCTGGAAAGCATCCTGGGGACAACGGAAGCTTTGTGTGTGACACCCGTCCAGACTTTGCCCTGTGGCTGAAACTGCATCCTTTCCTGTAATAAACCATAACTGGGATAACGATATCTTTAGTGAGCTCTGAGAATCCTTCTAAGGAATTTTCAACCTGAGGGTGATTATGGGAACCCCCAAACTTGCTACTGGTGTTAAATGTAAGGACAGTCCTGGGAACTGTGCCCTCAGATTTTGCAGATTGGCTAACTCTGCATACTTAGAAAAAAAAAAAAACCCAAAAGTCAGAGGTAGAAGGCACCTTCAAGATCATTTTGCCTGGCATCTGCTGTCTTCCAAGGCTTGTGCCCTTGATCTTTCCATTGAAAAGTCACTGGGTCCATCCACTTCCCCAGCTGACAGGGAAGCAGATGTGCTGTGAACTCTGGTTCCCTTGGACTCTCCAGCTCACCTCACTGACTCCTGACCCATCACCCAGCATCCTTGACCCCTTGGATGTTACATGTTAGCTGGTAAATGGGCCTGCACCCCAAGGCCATGTGCAACTTTATACACCCTCTCCAAGACTGAAGAGACTTGAGGGAACATCCATTTGAATTGTTAATTCTGAAGAGACCGGCACTTGCACAGCTGGTGGAGCAAGTGTTTTCCTCTTTGGTGGGGATGCGTGAGGCTCCTCAGAATCCCTCAAACGACACACAATCGCAGCCACTCACTGTGGGCCTGGAGGGCTCACTGAGCCACACTGCTTTCCCACTGTCAGGGCCGCTCCACATAGACTAGAAGATGGTCCCAGATGGAGTGAGAACTCAGGTCCCAGGCAGGGTGTGGAGGACATGATCACCCAGGGCCCTCTAGCCTAGCATGAGGGGATCCCATCAGGGAAGAAAGAAATATCCTCCCTCCCACTTCTGGAACCTCTGTTAGCATCACAGCCCCTTCAGTCCTGTGTCCTCGGAGCCCACTCTCCTCACTCTCATCCTGGTCCTGCTGCCCAAGCCTGTCTACTCGTTCTACAACCTGGACCCTCTGCTCCACCCTGACCCCTGGGTCTGACCCTGCTCGAGGCCTCCCTGGGCCTTTGGACGAGATGATTGCATTTGCTTCCCCACCTCTAACCTGCATTTCACTCTGAGGCCATCACCGTAGACCATCAGATTGAATTGCTATTCCCACTGGACACAGGACAGATCTGAGACTCCAAGATATAATCCCAGAGCCCCAGAGCTGGCAGGACTAGAGCCAGGACCCCACCAGATCCACCCAGTTCCTCTCCAGCCTCTCTGGTGTATGGGCCTGTTGGATCTTGCAGGGTTGGTACAGTTCCTACGATGGGGAAGGAAAGGGCTCTAGTCAGAATCCACAGGAACACAAAAGGATGTTGGTGGGATTTACTGACTTGTTTGAAAGTGAGCTCTGCTTTGTCCTCATCTCTAGGAAAAAGATCCTTGGCCCCTATCTCTTCCCAAGATGTTTTTTCAAAGTTAATATTAATTGAGCACCTACTCTGTGTCAGCCATCATGCAAAGCACTTTGCATGCATGATCTCAGTGTCTTCACAATAAAACTGAACAGATGAAGAAACTAAGGCAGAGAGTAGTTCAATAACATGTCCAAGGTCACATAACCTGACCCTGTAGCAGGTTTCACCTCTTCTCACCCCGAGGCCGTTCACTGCCAGCAAATGACATGAAGGAAGCACTGCTATTGGGATCTTGAGAAGGAACATCCTTGACTCCAGTTATAGGATGCTGCCTGGAGGAGGTGTGCCTGCCAGGAGGAAACTAGCCAGGGGCAGAGGAATCTGAGTGACATTTGTGGTTACCTGGGTAAATTGTCCTTAGCCACAAATCTCTCCCAGTTTTGGGTTAGGAGCTCCAGTTTATTTTCTGTGTCCTGGGAAGGCTCAGCGACAACTTGATAAACATTTTCACTCTCTAGATGGAAAAAGAAAAGAATAAAATTAGAAGAAACTGTGGTGGGATGCAAACGGCATTGAGTAGCTTACTCTGGAAAAAAAGTTATGACCAACCTAGACAACATATTAAAAAGCAGAGACAGTATTTTGCAAACAAAGATCTTTCTAGTCAAACTATGGTTTTTCCAGTAGTCATATATGGATGTGAGAGTTGGATATAAAGAAAGCTGAGCACCGAAGAATTGATGCTTTTGAACTGTGACATTGGAGAATACTCTTGAGAGTCCCTTGGACAGCAAGGAGATCCAACCAGTCCATCCTAAAGGAGATCAGTCCTGGGTGTTCGTTGGAAGGTCTGATGTTGCAGCTGAAACTCCAATACTTTCACCACATGATGCAAAGAACTGCCTCGTTTGAAAAGACCCTAATGCTGGGAAAGATTCAAGGTGGGAGGAGAAGGGGAAAACAAGATGAGATGGTTGGACGGCATCACTGACTCAATGGACATGAGTTTGAGTAAACTCTGTGAGTTGGTGATGGACATGGAGTCTTGGCCTGCTGCAGTCCATGGGTTGCAAAGAGTTGGACACAACTGAGCGACTGAACTGAACTGAACTGAAAATGTGTTGAAGGTCCATCTTCCTGACCAAAGGTCCCTGGTGTTATGGGTGGGGATATATGTGTCCCCTCTGCCCCAATTCTTATGCTGAAGCTCTGACCACCCCTCCCTGAGGACTGAGGTGGCACAGTCCAGACCTGAGTTCAGTTCTGGGTCCCCTGACCCTTGCGAAGTGGCTGAGGTGGAGGGGTGGCAGGGCGAGAACTGGAGGAAACAGCCTCTTGGTGACACCCCAGGGTCTGGGAGCAGGAGGAGGCTTGGAGCAAGGGAGAGGGCAGGAGAAGCTCCAGGGATGTTGGGGGACCTCCTCTCCCTCTCCCGCCTGACCTTGGGGATCCCCATCAGCTGTCCCCTCACCGTGGGCTGTCTTGGCCTCACCTCTGAGTCCCTTGCTGGATGGCAGTCGGGGAGGAAGTAGGCGCCATGCTGTGGTGCCCTGAGGATGGGGTTGGGATTGAGACTGTACGGATAGGACCCTGAATGTGGGGGACTCCCCTGGCCCCTCTGGAGGGCTCCAGAATGCTCAGCCACCCCTTCTTGGTTTTTGATTCCTTTGTGGATAGTCTCAGCCTGGAGGCACCACCCTCAATTCTGGATCACAAGTGGAAACCAGCCAGACAAGAGATAGCTGACTACCTGAGCAGTACAAGAGGTCTATTGAGCTCATGGTGGCAGCAGCAGCGTCTCAGAGATGTCGCTTCGGCTCACCCGTCCAAGTCAGGCTGGAAGGAGGTATGGCTTCACCTGTGGGGGAGAGAAAACGGACTGTGGGCTAGATCACGCGTGAGCAGGGGCTGCAGGGAGCAGCGAGGGGGGAGGTCTCTGGTGGGTTCCCCTGGGACGGCCACCAGTGCCACCAGGGACTAACCCTCTGTGTTTCTGTCCCCTGGGCTCTGCCAGCTGTTAGTTAAGAAAAGTCACTCACCTCCAAAGCTCCTTCCAAGCTGAGTCAGAGTCCTGCTCTCCTGTTGGGGCCCAGGGAGAAGGTAATCAGACAGGAGACAGCCATCTGTGGAGTTATAGGAGCAATAAAACCAGAGACAGAGAACACAGAAAGGAACATAGAAAGGAATACCCTGGAAATTATGGGAGGTGGGAACAGCTGTACCACTAATTGGTCATAACTAATATTGATTCAGTGTCTATGATGTGCAGGCTCCCGAAACTCGCCTAAACATAGGTCAGCCCAAGATTTCATGCTGGTGCCAGAGTCTGGACTTGAATCCAAGTCTTTCTGATTCAAATAGCATGTTAATTATAACTATGCTGTACTCTCAACAATATACAGAAATGCTTACCTGGGGATATATGTCAATTGGTAAATGACTCTTTTTATTCCAAAATGATGTCTTGGTCCCTGTGCCTGAGTCTCTGCCTCGATAAAGTTCCTGGAGCTGCAGCTCCCACAGCCCACATCCTCCTTGCTTCTGCAGGAGCCTTTATCCCACAAGCCCCATCCCTGCAGCCCTGCCCTGGGCCTCTGAGGACCTGGATGTTGCCAGTCCTCTCTGCTGTCCTCTCCTGACTGTTGTACTTTAGGTTCTTTCTAATTATTTGTGTCAATAATAGTGTAAAGAACACTCTTCTTGTATGAAACTTTGCCTGTACTTGCGACTGTGTCCTTAAGCTGGTTCTGGAAGTTGAATGATTTGGTAAGGGCTCTAAACATTTTAAATGTTTTCACACCTACTCGCTCTCTTGTGCCAGAACATTGCACCAATTTATTGGTGCAATGCACCAGTTATATTCATATATGAGGGTGTCAATTCTTTCAATCTTGCCAATCCTCAGAAGTCTCTACTTTAAAAGAGATCTTTATAAAGAGAGAATTTTTTAATTCTGTTTGGGATTACATTGGCTTGGTAGGTGATGAAAGAAAGCAAACATTGATTACATTCAGTAGCATTTTAAGACGACAAAAGTGCATTTATCAACTACTCCTCCTGAGACCTGACTGAAATGATAGTAACCATGCTTACAGGTATAATAATGGCTACTGATAGGAGGGGTCTTTGTGCTTGTGGTCTTTGCTCTGTACTGATAGTTGATCTAAGACTTTAGCAAATATAATTTGGATTATTCCAGTAACCCTTGAGATACCCCCTTACTCCCCTCCTTTTTTCATAGATGTTATGTGACTTGCCCAAGGTCAGAAATCTTGTCCATGGCACACTAGGTTTCAACCCACTTACTGGGCTCAAAGCCCACACCTCGCCTCTCGGTACTCTGCTGCTAACATAAAGCCAGGAATGTGGGCAACAGGAGCCCAGAGTCTTCAGTAGTAGTTTGAAGACTGACTGGATGAAGACGTGACTGCTGAATAAAAAGGAATGGACGGAAGAGACGGGGAGAAGGTGTACAGGCAAGAGAGATGCTTGCTTAGAGCAATATGAGCGTGACACAGAAGGAGAGAGCAGGGGACAGCCTCAGCAATCTGCATCCTATCACGTATTCACGTAAATCCACACCAGAGGGAGGGAAACCAGGATTCAGAGACCCCAGAAAAAACATCTCTGTATTCTGGAATTTGGGGGTCCTCAGGCAAGCACTCTAGAGCGAAGCTTACCAGTCAACTTTACTCCCTCTTAAATATGAACAGGTCATCCAGGGTCAGATACATGGAAACGATGACAGTGTGGTAAAGGGTGACTAAGATAAACAGATGAGAAATGACACCAGAAGAGATGGATGGATGATTCTGAAGCCAGAAAATAATTTTAAAAACTTGAACCCAGGTAGTTAAGTAGATTAGAAAGGATTTTTATTCATAAAGTGAGAAGATGCACTGAGAATAAGGAAAAAATGAAACAGACAAAAAAATCTTGGGACTTAATAAGTGTTTACAAAATAAGTCTAAAGAAAGATTGGAAAAGAAGGTCAAAAAAGCTTCCAGAAATTTTTTTTTTAAATAACAAAAGAAATGGAGCTAAATGGAGAACAGAAAAGTTACTATTCAGAATCGTTCCTTAGAAAGGTACTTGAGAGTGAGGTGCAGAGGGAAAGAAAATGTGTGTGTGTGTGTGTGTGTGTGTGTGTGTGTGTGTGTGTGATGATGATGCGAAGGATAACCAAGAGAAATAAAGATTCCTGAATGTGATCCAGGAATCAGGAACATCAACCCAGAGAGAAGGGAATCCAAGGATCACAGCTGGGCACACAGCAGATCTAGAGAGAAACCAGTTCAGAATGGGGTGAAAAGTCCAGAGCCTGTGCGGACAGGGGACTCGGTATCATATGAGGCACAGGTGTAAAGAAATGGAGGAAATTTGAAGATAGTGCAAGGGGTGAAAACAAAGGCAATTCAAAACATCAGGAAAAACTAAAGCTATGCCAAAATGTATGTGCAATACATAGTATTAATACAAGTTACTCAAGAGAAAATATTTAAAACATCACAAAAATGGAAATTGTCTTCTTTGACTTTTAACTTTTAGAACAAAGCATTTAAATATGAGAACTAAATTTATTTGCTGTCAATCAATATAAATATTAAATCACACTTCTAAAAGTTGGGAGCTGAAGCACTGAAGGGAGAAAGAGAAATAGTCTCATTTTACAAAGTGGGGAATCAAGAAACACCAGTTGAACCTGAGAGCCTAAGAAAGAATGGCACAAATAAAGTGCATATAACCACAAAGTTTTCTAATAGAAGATATAAGATGAGTGATATAATGATATTAGAAGAAGATGGGGAAGGATATAAGAAAAGATAAAAAAATAACTGAAATCATTTCTTCCCTTGTAAGAAGTAATTTAATAGTATCCAACTTTTTAAATTAGGAAAAGAAAAATATGATGCTTGATATTTATTAGCTATTGTGGTTGACGCTGCCGTACTTTGCACCAGGCAGCATTCTAGGTGCTTCTCAAGCATTCACTTATTTTTAGTTCTCTCAATGACCCTGTAAGCAAGGAAATTATCTAAGGATATTGCTGAATTACCTAAAGAAAAAGCAAACAACTAAAAGTGCTTTTTACTGTGAAGGGGTTTCCAGAACCCTCTGTATAAACTGATTTGTTTTAAAAATATGCATTTAGTATTTTGGATTTTTTTAATTTTATAAAAGCAGAAGTCACTTCATAGTAGTTAGTAACCCACAAGAATGGTTTGATTCCTGGCACCACCACATAAAACTGGTGGAAGCAATTGGATTAAGAGACAATAAGAAGTAAGCCTGACACCTGATGTGACAATTATCACTGTAGGAGACATGTTTGTGATGATGAAGCCAATTCCTCTAGGAAAAGGAGGGATGATAATACACATAACCCAGGATAACCACAGTGAACTGTGGCCTTAAACAGATACATTATCTAGCAGCACCTTGCCCCAAACATGTGAACCCATGGTCTTCTGCCCACGCAAAGGAAGCAAGACTCCTTGAAGGGGAGGTCAGTTCCACAGGTTGGCATCTATATCCACAGGTTGGCATCTACACACCCCCAAAGGCAAAGATTCTCTTGGAAATGTTCAGAGCAGCATTTAGAAGGGGCACCCACATAAAATGAGCTTCGAATATGCTTGCAATGTGAGAGACCTGGGTTCAAGCCCTGGGAAGATCCCCTGGAGAAGGAATGGCTCCCCACTCCAGTATTCTGGTCTAGAGAATTCCATGGACAGAGGAGCCGGGCTCCTCTGACAGTCCATGGGATCACAAAGAGTCGGACCCCACCTAGCAACTTTAACAGAATCACATACAATAATGCTGCTGACGATGGAAAGTGAATACTATGATCATGGTTCATTGGGCCAAGTTGAGTCTGAGAAAGGCCATGAGTTCATAATAATTCAATGAGAAGAGTTTATATCAAGTGTGGCTAAGAAGGGAGACATGAAGGTTACAAAAGGTAGCTGTGCTGCAAAGAGGAGTAAGTGTAGTGGGAAATAGTTCATTGTTAATTGAATTTAATAATAAGAGGAGTCTTAAAATCTATGGGTATATTCCCTTCTGTCTATTTATGTGACCATTAAAAAGGACTGAGAAGGAAAGAATACCCCCGACATCCCGAGGCTGGCCTGGTATCACAACAGGGCGATGCTCTTCTCCTGTTGGAATGTAAAGGCTCTCACAGAACTCCAGCCTCACACAGGGTCACCCTGAGAGCAGGAGCAAAGGAGACAGCAAACACCCATCACTGCGCCCTCACCAACACCTCACCCCTCCCTTGGGTGAAAAGCGTGACTGCTCATTCGTTACCAGTTACACCTTAATGCTCACTCTGATCTCCCCCCTCCGTAGGTGAGTTACTGAGACCCCCACTGATAGGAGGGCCCCTCATTTTCCATGTCACCTAATCGAGAGTGGACCCATTTCCTTACTGAGTGAGTGAAAGTCTCTCAGTCATGTCCAACTCTTTGTGACCCCATGTACTATAGAGTCCATGGAATTCTCTAGGCCAGAATACTGCAGTGGCTAGCCTTTCCCTTTTCCAGGGGATCTTTCCGACCCAGGAATCAAACTGGGGTCTCCTGCATTGCAGGCAGATTCTTTTCCAACTGAGCTATCAAGGAAGCCCCCATTACCTTAGAGCCTCCCCCAAATCCCCTCACCTGAGCCCCCATCCGAGAATCGTTCTATCACCTTCACTCTGTGATGCCTGGGGTTGTCCCGCAGGAAGAGTAGCATCAGCTTGTTGACTAGGGAGTGTGCCTGGTGGTGGGGCTGGAGGCACTGAGTGTGTGGGTGGGAGAGAACTCGCGCGGGCAGGTCTACTTTGAAGCAGGTGCAAGAGGACAGCTGGCTGGTCCCGCGCCGCCCGCCCCGCCTGGAAGCTGCATGACCCGGGGGCCGGGGCAGCCGAGTGACATCATGAAACACAGGGACCAAGAGCCAAGGCAGAGAGAAGAGGAGGGCTTGGGCAGAAAGGGCTGGATCCTGGATGATGCCAAAACTTTGTAAACGCATCGGAACCCTCGACCTCATCCTTCTGTCCTTCCCTCCCATTCTTGGCCTGGTTCTGACCCTTGTCTGGGGCCTCAGCTGGGTGTGGACGCTGATAGTGCTTCCTCTGCTGGATTCCTGTCCAGGGCGTCCTCCTCTGTTAGTTCTGATTGGTCCTTTTCTGGAAATGCTGTTGGTGGGAGAGGGGAGGACCCCGGAGAAGCCTGTCCCTGCCAAGGTGCATGGCCAGTCAGGCATCCCTCCCCTCCTCATGGGCAGACAGATTCTCCCCAACCATCTCCCTCAGGTGCCTGCAGCCATGCTCCCTGGGAAGGAAAGGGGCACTAAGAAAGTCCCCAGCCCAGCACCCAGACCCTCCCGACTGCCCCAGCTCCTGTCTTCCTCACACTCTCTGTCTCCACAGGGCCTGCTGCAGGAGACTGACGCCTCACTTGGCACAGGCTGCCCCTCCCCATGAAACGTGTTTCCCCACTGGCCTCCGTATGTGATGGGTTACTTATCCCTGGAGGCCCAGCTCCAAGCCTCCCTCTGCCACCTTCCTCCAGTTCCTTTCCAGCTCCTCTTGAAGGTCACACTTCCTTGGTCATGGTTCTCTTATTGCTCAGTTCCTCCAGGTCTGAGAACCCTACCCACATCATCAGGGGCCCTGTCTGTTCTCTGCTGCTCCTCCTGTCCAGGACCTCTGGGCACCCTCTACCCTCCTGGGCACAGCCTGGCCAAAATATGAGGGGTGGGACCCCTTATGGGGACACGAAACCAGCTTCTCAATGACACAGCACAACCCCAGTTCCCCTGTGAAAGTTAGAGAGGGAAGGAGGGTAGAAGGGGGACAAAGAGGAAGAGAATGGAGAAGAAACTAAAGGTCCTAATCAGTGAGTCATTCAAAAGGATCCAATGTAAACCAGGCAGAAAAAACTGAAGGGACTGAAGGAAGCATTAAAAATAACATTGATTTGAGAAAACCTTTCTAAATACACACATTCCACAAGACATAAAGGAAATTCTGACCTACTGGACTCTTGGAAATTAAAATTGCCATGCATCCCATAAACCAGGTCAGAAAAAACATCCACACCCACAGGGAAAAATGGAAATCAGCTTTAAAAAACTTAGTAAGAGAACAGAACAACCCATTCCCCAGGAGGCAGCTTGCCCAGGGTCACACAGCTCTCTGTGGGCACAGAGGAGGCCAAGACCAAGCCTTTGGACATGGGTACGAGGGAGGGGTGGGATCAAGGTTTTAATAACCCAAAGTTTATAGGGTTGTCTGTGCCGGTAAATAACATAGATCTAAGCTCATGCCCCTCCTGCTATACTGATGTCTGTAGAGTTTGGCTTTTTATCTTAATATTGCAATAGAGGGATTATATGTGGACCTTGTGCAGTGATCCCTTCTCACTTCTTCCAGCAGGGCCATCTTCCCCACACAGGACCTCCCATCACCCACATCCTGAGCAGAGCGCCCGGCAAACACAGGAAGCCAACACCCTTCGACTCCCCTCTTGGTGTCCTGTCCATCTCCAGGCTGCAGTCTCCCCCAGAGCCTGGCACTAGGCCTGGCACTCAGAGGCAGGGTTTTTCACAAACCCTGATTCCTTGTAACTGAAAAAACTCCCCTTTCCCCCAGCAGCCCCACCCTAGCTCCCGGGCAGCTTCAAGGAGGCCAGGCCATAGGAGGTGAGGCTCTGACTCCCCTGTCCTCCTCTACCCGCCCTGCTTCCTCCAGTTTCCCAAAGTACTGAGCACCCCCAACACCTACCTTCCCCCTGGGCTCACCGCTCACGTCTCAGGAGTCCACCCTAAGCTGAGCCCACCGGGACGGGAGCCGCCCTCCCTCTGCTCTGTTCAGGGGCCCTCGGCTGGGAGGAAGCCGTCAGACATACCTGCCCCCACATCCAGGCTCTGCCCCTGCTTCACCTGCTGCCGCGGCCATGGCCTCACCTCTCTGAGCTTCCAGTTCCCTTCTGTCAACTAGTGACATCATGCTTTCTCAGACATTCATCCTGAGGATGGGGAGATGGCCAGGCCCCTCCCCACTGCTTACCCAGGCATCTTCCTCTGGCTGAGTGTGAACAAGATCCAGATGTTCTCAGCTGTGCAGATGCAGCCGCCAGCTGTGCGTCTCTGCAATGACCACACACACCCTCTGTGCCCAGATACACTCTGGGAAGCAGAACTGAAAGCAAAGCCCTCACTTCTGAGTGGTTCAAGTCAAACAAACACCCTGCCCACCAGGCCCCGCCCTGGGACTATTTCCACCTCCAGCTGACCCCCTTAGAGGAAGAAGCCCAGTCCTGACATTCCACAACCTTCTTGACACAGTCCACTCCGTCTCAGGCTCCATGAAGGAAGACCTGTCACCAACACACCGTGAGTCCCACGGCAAATCAGTGCCCGCCCATTTCCATCTTCTCACCCCTCCAACCCCACACTCACCAGCCTGCCTGCCTCATTCACCTTCGTGCCTCCAGCATGTGGTCCAGGCCTGGAACAGACGAGTTGCTCAGTGCATACTGGTCATACTCTGCTGCTGAGGACCACGTCCAGGTGGCTTCTAGGATTCGCTCACACTTCTAGGTTCTTCTGCCAGAGACACCTGCTGCATCCAGGTGTCTAATGCTTTCTGAAAAGCCCAAATCTGGCATCACCTCCTCTGAGAAGCCCTCCGTGACCTCACCTGTCTCTCCTCCCAGGCTCCTCTGTCCCTGGGATTCTCCATAGTTTGGTTTTAAAGCCAACTGTTATGTATCTGTCGTGTTTTGCAGGTAAGGGCGCTGAGAGGAGGGGACAGGTGGGCGGTTTGTTCCAGCAAAGCAGGGACGTGTGTTTGGTGGGAGAGTGTCAGCAGCTCACGTCCTGCAAACATTCATTTGACACCCTGTTCCCAGGGCTCAGGGCTCAGGGCTCAGGCCAGGACAGACGCCCCAGAGCCCAGACACACAGGAGTCAAGGGCATACGGGCAGCCGCCGCGCCCCCTGACCTGCGCAAGTCCGCCCCTACCCCACAGGGGCCGCCGGGACACCAGGGCACCTCCGCCCCGGGCTCGGGGTCCTCTGGGGACAGCCGGCCCTGGGTGTCACCCCTACAGAAGGGACACAGGGAGGGACAGTGGGAGGCAGCGGTTTTTCCTGCAGGGAAGATCTGAGCACAGTCACCCCTCCCGCCTGCTCACTTTAATACTCCGGCAGAAATCCAGGAAGCAGGGGTGGGGTGGGGGTGGGGGTGGGGGGTGCCGCGCGGGGGAAGTCACGTGGCCTCCCCGGGGTACACCTGCCTGTGTGAGGGCGCCCAGGCCCCGCTTCCTCAGTGCCTCCACCACAGGCCAGCTGGGGGCCCTGAGCCGGTGGTGGGCGTCCCGGGACTCACTTCCCGGGCGGGTAGCCCCTGCATCAGGCCTGGAAGCCAATGATGGCGTCTGTGATCTTCAGGTCCCGCTCCTCATCCAGGTGGGCCAGCACGACTGCCCAAAGAAGACCTGCTCTGGCCCATGCGGTACAGGTTGCTCTCGAGCTCCAGGGCCTTGATCTAGAAGAGGAGAGCTGGCCGCTGACCACATGCCACCCCAGCCACCACGGGGTCCTGGAGAAGGGCCAAGGCCCTGGATCGGGCTTATGCTCTGCGGACGGACTTCTCCTGGTGCAGGGAAAGTGGGGTGGAGGGACGCCAGGAAGGGGGCGGGAGGTGGTCAGCACGGGCCAGGTAAGGAGTCAGACTTGCAGAGAAACACAGAACCCGGGCCCTGAAGGGATCTTACCTGCTGGCATCTCTTTCCCCGTGCATTTCTAACAAAGATAGCAGTGGACATGGGGACTCCGGTACATTACTCTAGGTAATTAGAGAAAGTGTATTTATTTAGAAAGGTAGTTTAAAGTAAGAGGGGCTTCGACATACTTAGGAACGTAAGGAGCGAAGCAGGGGAAGTCAAGAAAGTGGGGCCAGGTGCAGGATGGCACGCAAGGGCCACTAGTTGCTTGGGAGCACCGCTGTGACAGGATGAGTCTCTCATCAACAGCTGTCATTGACGAGGAGGCTGGGCCCAGACTGGGTGTAACCCAGCACCTGAGTGTAACCAATTGTTAGATACTCTGTGCAAACAACACAATTTGCCAAGAAGAACCAGCTTTCGTCTAAGCCAGGACTTCCACAGGCTCATGACACCCCTGTTCATTTAGGTCCAGGCCCTGGGATCCAGCCACTGGAGGCTGTGTGCCAGGTGGTGTGAAGTCAGCTCTGCCACTCGCTGCCCATTACTTTGGCAGTAACAAAGCCAACAATGCCTACAGGTGTGGCCCTCACCCAGGGGGCTGTGCCACACTCCCGACAATTCCCCAACCCTCACCTGCAGATATTCAGGGATGTCTGGAAAAGGCAGCCCCAGAGGCTTGGGAGGTAGGAGGGGGCTCAAGGGAGAGAAGCTCATATCAAAGATCTTGAAGCCAGTGATGTCCAGGATCCCTATGAATGAGATGTCCTGCCTCTTGGTCTTGTCCAGAGCCTTCTTGATGCTCAGGACCAGCCAGTGGAACATGCGCTCAGAGGTGGCCTTGGCCAAGGCCTCGGTGGCAAAGTAAGCCTGCAGGGACACCTGGGGCGGGTGGCGGTGGCGGGGGGATGGGTCAAACACAGGGAGCCTTGAAGTGCTCATTCCCTTTACCCCAACAATGTCATCTGCAGGGCCCAGCCCCAGAAAAACAGCCTCAAAGATGAAGAGAAAACTTCATACACAAATATGTCCACTGCAGTGTTATTTAAAATGAAGGAAGTTGCAAGAGCCTAAATTCCAATAATATGGGCAGAGAAAACTTAGACATTGGCAAAGTGTTAATCATTCAGTTGTGTTCAAGTCTTCTTGAAGCCGTGGACTGTAGCTCTCCAGACTCCTCTGTCCATGACGTTCTCCAGGAAAGAATACTGGACTGGGTTGCCATTCCCTTCTCCAGGAAGTCTTCCCGACCAAGGGATATGAACTCGGGTCTCCCGCATTGCGGGCAGATTCTTTAGGGTCTGGTCACCACGCAAAAACCTTTTTAAAATATAGGGATAAACTAAAGTATGTACGGAAGAAATGACAAGATTTTTGAGGTTTGCTTCTAAAAATATAGCTGTACTGTAGGGAGATGTCCAATAATCTTACTGGGGGAATTATTTTACTTTTCTAGGTTTTACCCCATTTCCTGAATCTGAACTGTTACTTGCAGTGGTTTCATATGAAACATACAGCTTCTTTAATTATCAGGTTAAAGAATGGTTGGTCATAACATGTCTGCTGTCTTTCAAAAACAATGTCCCTATCTTTGGAGGGAGGGTTCTGCCCAGAGTCAGCTATCATCAGCGGTATGAGGTCCATGACAGCACCTTTTGGAAAAGAACAAGTTAATATGAACTTCAAGGCATTTTTGAGAAATGGGAGCAGGATCTTAAAGATGCCCAGCACCAAGGCATGAGAGAAACATGAAATTGTCACCAGAGGCTCTGCCCGGAGGCACACAGGTCCTGGGTGGCGGGCACATGTGTGCAGCACACATCCCTGTGCGTCTCTCCCCACGTGGGACAGGACAGCAGGTGGGGACAGACAGCTGCAAGGTCTGGGCTCCCAGGGAGGTGGGTACACTGCCCCGGGCCCAGGATGAGCTGTGCTACAGAAACACCACATGCTTGCTTCACTTCCTCCAGGAACAGGACACCCTGCCTTCTCCCGACCAATCAGCTCAACATGGATCAGGGAGGAGGCTCAAGGCACCCAGAGGGCCCACCCAGGATGGCCCTTCCCAGGCAGGGGCCTCAGCCACTCTCCTGGCCCCTGGGCCCAGCTTCCTCCTATTCTCTACTGCAGTGATAGCACCTGTTTTCAGAGGGGTAGTGAGGATCTAATGAGGACCCAGGTGACGGTGCTGACACAGTGATTGCCCAGCCCAGGCTCTGCAGGCGTGAATTTCCCTGCAGCAAAGAGGAACAGGGAGTGGGATCCCAGTGAAGACTGGTCTCAGGGGAGCAATGTTCCTGGAGGCCAGGGTCTCTATTGCACCTCCTTGTTGCCTGCACATATATAATATACATGCAGAACACTGAGAAGGGAGTCCAACGGAGCATGAGAGGCACTGGCATCACCCTGGGGCCCTTCCTCCCTGACATCACTGCAAGATGCAGCAGGTGGCAATGATTCGTCTCCAGCTGGGGAAGTGGGCAGGGCACTTACTGTCCTGTGTGGGGTGATTGGACCCAGAACAGTATGAGGAGAGTCATTTCTGTTGGTCTGAGAAGAGGGCACGTGTGCATCCAAGAAGCACTAAATCTGGAGCCTCTCTACCTGAGACTTTCCCCCAGGGTTTGGGTCCCTGTTACTCATTCATCTTCCTCATCCTTCAGCCTGAACTATTAGTCCAAGGAGACAGTCCCCAGACCCAAGTTATTCTCTCTCCTGGGACCTTGACACTGAGATTCCAGGTGTTTGGACCTAAGCCCCCTGGTCACGGGACCTCAGGGGCCAGACTGTGGGATCCTGGAGGGGGACCTGTCCTGCTTCCTGTCCTCCCTGAACTGTGCACGTTGGGGACTTCTTTCTGTTTTCTGACCTGGGCTTCTTCCCTCCCAGTGCACGCTCTTCTGCACTCACTCAGCCAGACTCAGTCTCTGTTGCTCAGAACGACAGGGCTCTTACCTGACACGCGTCACCGTGGAGTTGCATCAGCCGCACAGTGAGTTCAATGGGGTCCAGCTCTAAGGGTTCAGGGGGTGATGGGCATGGACACTGAGTGGTTCTGTACCCAGTGCCTGAAATCATGCCCAGAGAAGTCTGTGCAGGATGGGAATTCTCCAGGTACTGAGGAAGAACTGATGAAGGAATGAACTCACATTTCTGAAGGTCGGGCAGGAGATGGCCATGACGGCTGACATCTTCAGGAAGGAATGAGAGGACCGGTCGGAGCCTCAGGAAAACATGGGCTGAGAGGGAGTCAGAGGCACTGAGGACAGTCTTCAGAGGGAGGTTTGGACAGAAGTGTGGAGAAGGCTCTGCAGCACGTGGGGAGGGACTTAGGAGACGTCCTAGGATCATTTCCAGGTCCTGGGTCTCTGGCTTCCTGTCCTGGGCTCCAGGTGTGGGAGCCTGTGTGGTGCTCACATGCTCCACACGTGGAAAGCCAGAGAGTCAGTGCCCCGTGGAGCAGGCCCGTGGGCTTGAGAGCAACACCCAGATGCTCCCCTCTCCTCCCTCCCTGGAGAGGAGGAGCCTGAGGCATCCCATGAAGTCTCCTCAGAAGGTCCAGGCAGGTGCAAGCCCAGATGGGTGACCAGATCAGAACATAGCCTTGGATGGACACTCCCTCCTTCCTGCCCACTTCCCCTAGCCCCTAAGTACTGCTCCTGGGGATGGAGTGAGCCTGGCATCCAGCTCACCCTCGGGGGAAACAACGGCTCCAGCAGGCTAGGCTGCAGGGAGGCTTTGAGCATCTGTGCTCAGAGTCATGGGCCACTGTGGAGGAGGGGAAGCAGGCAGGGCTAATTCAATATTCTTAAGAGTCATTCTAGCCCTAGTGGGGCTATAGACAGTCTATTCCTAGTGGTGAATAGACAGGTGAGGCAGGACAGTGCCCCGAGGTAAACACAAATAGGCTGTTCTGGAAGGTCCTGCAGGAGTCCTGCAGAAACTTAAAGGCAGCCTGGGTGAGGTGTGTGCTGTCTCTCTCTGCCCCTCTGTTTACGACTGACCCCCATCACACCTGCACACAAGCTATCTTCCTCAGTCACCCTTGGGTGCCCTGTGTCCATCCTGGTCCCCAGGGCTGGAGGAGGAGCATCCCCATGCTCAGCCCAAGTCAGACAACACGGGCTCCCCTGGGCTTCCCATGGGGCCTGCAGGAATCCAGGTTCTGAGAGAAATGACTGAATGGGAGCCCAGCGGGCAGGAAGGAGGAGCCATGGAGGACGCGCTCCCTGAGACCCTGGGAGAGAGTCTCGCGGGGAAGGAGGTCAGGCATCCAGAGCCCAACTGAGCTCATCAATCAATGCAAGGAAGCCTCAGTGAATCAGCTCATATTTATTGAACTAAAGTCTGTAGAACACAATGTGGAGAGAGGCAGACGGTCGTAGAATACCTTGTTCAGCTACATCCCCAACTGAGGAAGACATTGAGGGTCAGAGAGGCCTTATCTGCTGGCCCCAGGCTGGTTGATCTCCTTGACATACTGCATAATTCCTTGATCTGTTGGTGCCTTCTGCTTTCATCTTTCTTTTTTTCCCCAAATCAATCTCTGTTCCTGCACAACACTGGGAATTTCATGGGAACTTAATGGGTCTCTCAATGCACCCTGAACTCAAAGGGCACCTGGATGGATACTTGTCAGATGTTCCATCCACTGTGTTGTCATCACTGCTGCTGCCACCACCATCATCACCACCATTGTCTTCAAGAAGTCACTGCCTGAAGTGTGATGTAGACCATTCTTCAGAGAAGATATACAGATGGCTAGCCAGCATATGTAAAGAGGCTGAACACTGCTAATTATTCAGTTCAGTTCACTCTTCGCGACTCCATGGACCAGAGCACACTAGGCCTCCCTGTCCATCACCAACTCCTGGAGTCTACTCAAAGTCATCTCCATTGAGTCAGTGATGCCATCCAACCATCTCATCCTATGTGTTCGGTAATCAAAACCACAATAAGGGATCACCGCCTACCAATCAGATGGGCCATCAAGTAAAAGTCTACAGACAATCAATATTGGAGATGATGTGGAGAAAAGGCAAGCCTCCTACACTGTTGCTGGGAATGTAAATTGGTGTGGCTG